GGTTTTTATGTGAGTTTTTGGTCTTCTATCATAGGTTAACAGGTTTCCTTATTTTTAATCTTGTATCTGTTTAACCTTTTTTTGTAAAATGTCATCAGTCTTTCATCATCTATAAAATTGAACCTTTGTTGCACTGCAGGTATTTGTGTTGATTATCAGCTGTCTCATGATCAAACTTTTTTTGCTTTGCTTTTGTAAATCTTTACATTTGATTGTATAGGTATTTTACCAATACTAACAACCTACCTATCATACTGTTACATATTGTAGACTGCTCTGGATATCCGACAGTCTGTTTTCGGAGGTAAAAATATTCACGTGGCAACAGCTCATGAAGATTTGGCCTATTCTTCTTATGTCCATCAGTATAGTTCAGGAAAATTTGACAATGCACTGTAAGTAATTGGTATTACTAGATTTGCATAGATCATGACATTATCACGTTATATGAATCTGTTTAATGAAGGGCTGTGTACTGTTGCATCAACAAATGGTTTGGAATTTAATTTTCTGGAATTTATTGAAAAATGACTTTAAAGCAGAGCTCCACCCAAAAGGGGAAATTCTACTTTAAGAACTGGTCCGCTGCTCTCCATTAAGGATTGGCAACTTTGGGGTGCAAGTGCCCGAAATTGACAGGTACCTGCTCCCTCTGCTGCCTTTTTTAAAAAATTTTCAATGGAACTCCACTTTAAGTACATAATGGAAAAGGAAGTACTATGTGCAGGTTGTTGACTTTTAAAACCTTATTGCATAACAGTATTTAGCAAAATAAATATGTCTTAGGTGCGATCTTTGTCAAAAAACCACCATACTTTATGTTCATTGATTTCAAAATTGTTTAATGGGGTTTTTAAACAGTGTAATGTATCGATGGGGGTTACAGAATGTACATACAAGCATTGTGATCCTAAAGGGTCCAAGGAGACCTTGTCAATGTGTCATATAAAACAATACTTAATGATTCCTTTGGCCATTTTTTTTTACTGTAAATTGTGTTTACTGAACTCTGCACATAACTAGACAAAATAATTTAGCATTTTATGGAAATTTAGTAGCTATAAAGTATAAAGAGGTAATTGTGGATGGTTACATAGAACATACAATATATAATAGCAGATCATTGCAGTGGTTGTGTATTTGAACCCTTGCCTAATGAAGCTCTTCTTCTTTATTTTTTTATTTTTTTATTTTTTCCCTCTTCTAAGATTTCATGCTGAACGTGCCATAGATATCATCACACACATACTCCCAGAAGACCATCTTTTATTAGCTTCTTCCAAAAGAGTTAAAGGTATGGACAGAACAATTTGCTAATCCGCTTAGGATATACAACTAGATAATTTTTGTTGATTCACTTTAAACTAGTTAATCGGGCATTACCATGGACTAGTAATCTACTTTTGCTTCCTTTTCCCATAATTTAATATTTTACCCTTTTCTAATCTTATATGTTTTCTTGCTGTACTCATGCAGAGCCAGATTATGTGTACTACAGTTCTCTGAAGTTATCAGGCATCTTTTTTTGTACATCCGTTTGTTAAATTACTGTACCTAGTTATCTGGGATGTAGCCATAGTCCTCTTTATTATTTGTGCTAATCACTTTATTATACATATGGTATAAGAAGGGACCTCTATCATATTTAAAGTGAAAAGATGATAGCACATATTGAATACCCCTTTACAATAATGTGTCATCTGTGTTTGCTGTTAGACCAAACTGAGCATCAGAAGAGATAGTTGCATTGTGTAGGTTTTATAGCAGAATTAATAATTAAAAGCAAGGTGGGTGAAGTGCTGGCATAATCTGCTTGAGAGGTGTTTTTGTTTTTTTTTTTGTTTTTTTTTTAGCACTGGAATAGAGTAGCAGGAGGAGTGATCCAATCAATAAGCACTGCCTAAAACAAAAATAAAGTGGGAGAAATTTTTTTTTCTCCTCCAAGAGTGCTCCTCAAGTGACCATGGCCAGTATATCTAATTTTATACATGTAAGAGAGAGTTGATGCTTTCTGTAGGTGGGTAGTGAGATGTTGGTTATTCTTAACATTTTTATACCCATAGCACTAATACTGGAGGAGATTGCTATAGATTGTCACAACAAAGAAACTGAACAGAAACTTCTTCAAGAAGCTCATGACCTTCATCTTTCATCACTGCAACTTGCTAAAAAAGCCTTTGGTGAGTTCAACGTGCAAACAGCAAAACACTATGGGAACCTTGGGAGATTGTATCAGTCCATGAGAAAGTTTAAGGTAAGGCTGTTCTTGACATTCTGGTGTGTGTGTGTGTTTGTTTTTGTTTTCTTTTTTTTTTTTTTTTTTTTTTTTTAATTCTCTTTTCTGCTTTTATCTGTTTCTCTTTAATAAACCAGTGTCTCCTTTCAAAACAAAAAATGTTACCAAATTCCTGGCCACATGTAAACTAATGTAATTATTCCTACATCGTTCACCATGGCTTTACATTATTTATGTATTTTTTTTTTTAACTTCTTCAAAAGGTGAAGTTCTGTAGTACAGTTTCTTGAAAAAGACAGTGATGTCATCTTACATCAGGATTTCCTTCAAAGAGTAATTAAAACTCTGCAAGCTATGTCCCAAAAAAGACAGGCATAAAACTAAAGACTAGTCACCAGTATTGCCTGTGATTTTTCAGCTAATTTTCTCCTCAGTACTGACTTGACATATTTTGTACTCCACTGTGTCTCTGTAGAGGCAGTAGTCTTGGTAGAGGCAGGATTTTTCTTCCTCATGGCAGAGCCTCTAGCAAAAAGAACAATGGGCAATACAGTAGTGACATCAATAAATATCACTCCAAATCTCCTGAAACTAGCAGTTGGCGATATTGGCACTTAAGATCTCACACAGCAGATATACAGCTATGAGGATGTAGGCAAAAGAGTGCCTAGGCATCCTCACAGACCAGAAAGTGTAAAAGTTTTTATGGTGTGGCTTAGCTTGGCACTATTACATTTCTAGATGCTCCCTATAACATAGCAGATCTTCTCTTTTTGAGGTCAGGTCCACTTTAAAGCGGAGTTCCTCTCAGCCTGTCAAAAAAAGAAATGTCAGCAGCTACAAAAACTGTAGCTGCTGACTTTTAAAAGAACAGCCACTTACCTGTCCTGCAGTGTGTCCCCTGCAGCCCGTCTCACTGGCCAGCCTGGATTCCTGGAGGCCGGCATCTTCAGTATGGGCACCCGGCTGTGATAGCTTGTGGCTTCACAGCTGGGTACCCAAGGCACATGCGCGAGTAGCGCTGAGCTTCATGAATGGTCCTGTAGTCTTCTGGGACCTGTCACGTGTCCCAAAAGACTACAGAGAGGGAGGGAGGGAGGAAGGACACCTTGGCGAGCGGGTACCTGTCAAATTCGGATACCTGCTCCCCCCCAGGTGCCAATCTTTAATGGGGAACAGTCCTTAAAGTGGAACTTCCCCTTTTGGGTGGAGCTCCGCTTTAAGTTGTGGCAGCCATTTTGGAACAGCTCTGCCCTGCTTCCTCCTGCAGCAAAAAAAAAAAAAAAAAAACTGCAGTAGTGTTAATTTTATTTTTAGTTCATCCTGCTGCAATCCAATTTTTTTTTTTTTTTTGTGCTTTTATATAGTGCAACTTAGTTGTAACTTTTTGTGTTGTGTTTTGGATGTGGTTTGCATATTCAGTGGGTTCAAGATCGAGCTGAAATTGCACCAAAGTAGTACAGGACCCTCATTCAAAATTGTGCCGTGCTGAGTTGCATTGTTGTGAACGAGTACCATCAAAAACAATGTTATTTCCATGGTCATGTGATTCTGTGCAACTGCATGTCTGAAATGGCTTTCGTGTGAATCAGGCCCTAGTCCACACAAATACAATGTTGCTCATCTGAGTTTGCATTAAGTAAGTGGACATGTCAAACTATAAAACCTCATGCACCCATATGAACTATGGTACTCTGACAGGTGGAAATATGACAGATGAAACCCTATTGGTCTCTTCTGTTCTAACCGCTTCTCCCTGCCTGCCAGCATTTATACCGAGTCACGCCTGCACATCCCAGTGTACATGTAGGGTATTCATTTTGTGCTGTGATGATGTGACTCCAATGCTATTTATTTATTTTCCTTCATTTTAATGCGGATGCGATTCTATGATGGTGGGAAGGGGGCTTTGAGGAAAAAAAAAAATATAAATGGAATGGCAAGAGACATCTGGGGTTGTAGACAATCTACTCAATTGTATACAGGGAACCTGTTAATATTAATTGCAATCTTTTCCTGGAAAAATATTGCTTGTCTGTCATGATGATCAAATGAATTCAGTAGCTCTGCTTTGACCAGTATGCAGGTTAGGAGTTTAATTTTCCTGATCTGCATGCTTTTTCTTGGACTGAGGGCTCAATTCACAAAGCAATATTGCATGTTATATTTAGATCATGTGACTATATAACATCATTTACTTATTTTATATAACATATTGCATGTGATTAACAACTTCAAGTCCGGACACTTTTACCCCCTTCCTGTCCACACCAATTTTCAGCTTTCAGCGCTATCACACTTTGAATGACAATTGCGTGGTCATGGAACACTGTACCCATATGAATTTTTTTAGCATTTTTTTTTGAGACAGATAAAGCTATGTTTTGGTGGTATTTATTCATCACTGGGATTTTTTTTTTTTTTTGCTATATAAATGAAAAAGTCCAAAAAATTTTTTAAAAAGTGTTTTTCTTATAAAATTTCATCATAAATCTTGGCCAAAATGTATTTAGTTATCTTTTTAGTAAAAAATAAATAACCCAAATTTAGTTTATAACCAAAAATTTTAATTTTTTTTTTTTTTTTTACATTTTTTTTTTTTTTAATATTATTTATTTTTTCTACATACTGTCATCCTAGCAGTGGTCTCACCATGGTGACACTGTACTACTTGTGAGGGGTGATGAAGATTTTTTTTTTTCTTTTTTTTTTTTTTTTTACACTGATTGCTTTTATACCCATAACGGCTGTAAAAGCAATAATTTCTCCTTCTCTCTGGCTGCATTCTTGCAGCCATTGAGAAATACTGTGTGAGCTGTGATTGGTCACAGCTTGCCACATGGTACAAGGCTGTTGTGAATAGCCTTGTACCATGTGACCTCTGTGATCATTCACAGATTTCACACGTAGTAAGCAATGATATCAGAAGTGACATCTTGCTTACTACTCTGCATGTGATCACTGATTGGCCAATCAGTGTTCACATGATCGGCACCTCGCACAGAGGTCCCATACAACGATCGGTGTTCCACTGTGTCCTGAGTGCACTGCGTACAGACTGTGGAGTTCAGGGAGTGCGCTATGCAGGGAATGCAGAGTTCAGGAGTGCACTGTGTGCAGAGTGCATGAGTGAATTGCATACAGAGTGCAGGGCTCAGGAATGCATATCTCACAGGCCAGTTTACAACCCCCCCCTTCTATTACAAGGTCCTCCTCCCACCCCCAAATCCTCTCTCCCCCACCTTCAGAATATTAGAGAGAGGGGCTGCCACAGAAGAGCAGCTACAACTTACAATCTTAAGTGGGGTTAGGGGGGGCATGGGGATAAGTGGGAGAAGAGGGGGGACACTGGGAATAAGTCGGAGAAGAGGGGGGGTACAGTGGGGATAATTTGAGGGCAGAGGGGGGATTGTGGAATACGTAGAGAGGGGGAGAGATAAGAGGAACATTGTGGAGGAACATTGGAGGAGTGGGGGGACATTTTAGATAATTGGCGATTAGTGGAGGGAGAGGAGGAACATTGGGATTAGTGGAGGGACAGGAGGAACATTGGCGATTAGTGGAGGGACAGGAGGAACATTGGCGATTAGTGGAGGGACAGGAGGAACATTGGCGATTAGTGGAGGGACAGGAGGAACATTGGCGATTAGTGGAGGGACAGGAGGAACATGGGAGATAAGTGGGGTGATGCTCGGTGTGAGTGTAGTGTGCCTTATCTAACTGTACTGCACATGCTGAGTGTCACATACCACAGTGCACTTGGTTAGGAAGATTCCATGAGATCCCTGAACAATATGCTGCAGGGACTGGAGGCGGCTCAGTGTCCCAGGATGGACAACCAATAGGAAGAAGTCAAGAAAAAGTATGTATGCACTTTTGGAAAGAGAAGCAAAACTCAGTGCTGGCTTTTCATTGCAGAGGATTATTAGTGTGGGGCTAAGACCGGCTGTAATACGATACATTAGAAGATAAAAAGGGATGTTTCATAGGAGACAGAAGTCTGTGTACTGTGTACTCACTCAGAATGGCAACCACACTGAAGGAAAAGCTACCCCCCGCCCGCGTCTCTGCTGTCATGTGCAGAGCAGTGAGGGTTTTGTGCTGCCAGACTATAAGCCAGGCTTCCCTGTCTTCAGCTTCTGTCAGCACCAGAGTAGCCCACAACAGGGCTAAATGTAGAACAAAACTTCTTGCCCGGCACTCAGAACTGCATGTCCCGAGCGTTGGGCGATAGGAATTAAACATCCCTGAGGTACAAAAAAAACTTTCAGTCTTTAGAACCACTTTTAAGGCCTAGGTAAGGTACAGTAAATCCTTTTTTATTTGGGCTATTTTCGTTTGTATTTTATATATGCTGACCAATTGCGTGATTGGGATTTTTTTGTTCCTTATTTGGTCATTCAGGAGGCAGAAGAGATGCACATCAAGGCTATACAGATCAAGGAACAGCTTCTTGGCCAAGAAGATTATGAAGTGGCTTTGTCAGTTGGACATTTGGCCTCTCTATATAATTACGACATGAACCAATATGAAAATGCAGAGAAACTTTATCTACGATCGATAGCTATTGGTATGTTAGCCTAGTAAAAGCTGCATGTAGTGTGTTGCCCACGTTATTAATGGACTTAACTAACCATTGATGCCCAGGCCCATTTTGCCTTATTAAGCAGCGGTTATCGCTAATTGGTCTATGTTTGTTGTGTTTAACCCCCTGTAAGATTATTTCATGCACTATATACATTTTAAATACTCTGTTCATCTTTATTGTTTTGTTATATGCTGACAAATCAACAAAATTGTGAAGTGTGCTGTGCTTTTTTATATATGATTACATAATCCTATTTTTGATTTTTGCACATAGATGGTGTGCCCCAGTACCATCTGTAGGCTGGAGAGGTTTGTGTATAGAGGCAAGCCTCTCCAGCCTGCCTGTGATGGCCATGTTTGGTTATTCAGTTAGGACCTTCTGAATGTTTCTCAGTCATTAGTCTGAGGCGGTCAGGGACAGTGTGGTCCTAGGAGTAGGTGTGCACAGTTGGTTAACGGCTGAAACACAGATTAATGGTCCTGCAGTAGGGAACTGGGCCTGAAAACCTTAAGCTACAGGTATCCTGTTATCTGTAATTAATTTTAACTCAAACCAATGCGACATGCAGAATCGTGTGAAAATTCTAATGTCAAAATCAATGTGAACAGGGCCTAAAGCCTAACTTCAGGTTTATTGCATCTTTATGTAGTTCATTTGGACCAAGCTGGTCCAAACAAACTATTTTGCTTCAATAACAGATACTCAGACAAGGAGCTCTGTATAAATGCCTGGTTGTAAACCCTTACCTATAACCAGTGAAGTATCTGGCCTCAGATGGTACACAGAGTTGAAAACAAATCCTCCTTCATAAGTTATACTTGTTTATCTGCAGTCTAGTTTTCGCTTCTCTAAATCCATTCAAAGTAAACAATTTATACAGCTTTTTGAGCTTTCAGATAAAATGGGGCGGGGAGCTCTATGGAGCTCAGTGGGAGAGCTTTGACTGCTGATTGGTGGGAAGGGGGACACACCCCTTCACACAGCTCACAGGAACAGAGCTGAGGCTGTCAATCTGCTGGAGGTCCCTCCACTGTCACATTTTTTTTTTTTTCTCTTGGTGTCAGGAAAACTGGTTAGAAGTATTTTATGCTGATAGCAGAGGAACAAAGTAGCAGACAGAAATGACACGTAGTGTTCTTAAATAAAATAAGTACACGCTATAGAGGATATGCTGTGTTCAGGTCTCAGGTTTACAACCACTTTAAGTACAGTGACTTGAAAAAGTATTCATACTTTAAATTTTCCATATTTTGTCATGTGGCAACCAAAAACGTAAATATATTTTATTGGGATTATATGTGATAGACCAACACAAAGTGGCACAAAATTGTGAAGTGAAAGGAAAATGATAAATGTTTTTCAAATTTTTTTACAAATCAATAACTGAAAAGTGTGGCGTGCATTTGTATTCAGCCCCCCTGAGTCAATACTTTTGTTGAACCACCTTTCCCTGCAATTACAGCTGTAAGTCTTTTTGGGGATGTCTCTACCTGCTTTGCACATCTGGAGAGCGTCTGTGAACAGCAATTTTCAAGTCTTGCCAAAGATTCTCAATTGGATTTAGGTCTGGACTGGGCCATTCTAACACATGCTTTGATCTAAATCATTTCATTGTAGCGCTGGCCTGTATGTTTAGGGTTATTGTTCTGCTGGAAGGTGAACCTCTACCCCGGTCTAAAGTCTTTTGCAGACTCTAACAGGTTGTCTTCTAAGATTGTCCTGTATTTGGCTCCATCCATCTTCCCATCAACTCTAAACAGCTTCCCTGTCCCTGCTGAAGAAAAGCATCCCACAACATGATGCTGCCATCACCATGTTTCACAGTAGGGATCGTGTGTTCAGGGTGATGTGCAGTGTTAGTTTTCCGCCACACGTAGCATTTTGCGCTTAGGCCAAGAAGTTAAATTTTGGTCTCATCTGACCAGAGCACCTTCTTCCACATGTTTGCTGTGTCCCCACATGGCTTCTCACAAACTGCAAAGAGGACTTCTTACAGCTTTCTTTCAACAATGGCTTTCTTCTTGTCACTCTTTTGTAAAGGCTAGATTTGTAGAGTGCACAGTTGTCCTATGGACGGATTCTCCCACCTGTACTGTGGATTTCTGCAGCTCCTCCAGAGTTACCATGGGCTTCTTGGCTGCTTCTCTGATTAATGCTCTCCTTGCCCGGTCTGTTAGTTTAGGTGGATGGCCATGTCTTGGTAGGTTTGAAGTTGTGCCATACGCTTTCCATTTTCAGATGATTGATTGAACAGTGCTCCTAGAGACGCTCAAAGTTTGGGATTTTTTTTTTTTTATAACCTAACCCTGTTTTAAACTTCTCCACAACGTTATCCCTGACCTGTATGGTGTGTTCCTTGGCCTTCATGATGCTGTTTGTTCACTAATGTTCTCTAACAAACCTCTGAGGGCTTCACAGAACAGCTGTATTTATACTGAGATTAAATTACACACAGGTGGACTCTATTTACTAATTAGGTGACTTCTGAAGGCAATTGGTTCCACTTAGGGGTATTAGAATAAAGGGGGCTGAATACAAATGCATGCAACACTTTTTCAGTTATTTGTAAAAAAAAATATTTGAAGACCAATTATCATTTTCCTTACAGTTTAGTTATTTGCCCCTTTTTATGTTGGTCTATCATATAAAATCCCAATAAAATACACTTACGTTGTAACATGACAAAATGTGGAAAATTTCAAGGGGTATGAATACTTTTTCAAGGCACTGTAGCATCAGCTGCATACAGTATACAGCAACGTGTTTTGGCAGCGGTATAGGAGCTTTCCATTTCACTACTGCAATAAAATTTGGGCTGAGTGCTGGTCAGCCATTTACAGGAAGCTTTGTAACTTTTTATCAGTGAATACAAGGCTTCCTCTATTTGGAGGTTGTGATGTCATATGCTTGCCTCTCCACCTCAGCCTATCAGAGGGAGTCCTGCATTGGTAAATTACAAGGCTTCCTGTGAACAGATGACCAGCGCTCAGCCTGACTTGATTTTCAATACACAGCACTATATACTGTACTTAGCTGATGATACTTACAGTTTATAGAGCGCTCCCAGTGGGCACATTTGTTAGTGAAGCAAGTAGTTTGGACTAGTTTTGGTCCAAATAAGCTATTAAAAGACACAAGAATCTTGAAGTTAAGCTTTAATGCTCTTTTGAGATTGCCTTTGTGAGAGGTGGTTGTGTTTTTTTTTTTTTTTTTTTTTAGTCTCTAATTTTTTGCTTTTGTGTATTTGCAGGAAAGAAGTTATTTGGAGAGGGTTACAGTGGACTGGAGTATGATTACAGGGGCTTAATTAAACTTTATAATTCTGTTGGCAATTTTGAGAAGGTATTTGAGTATCACAATATATTGGCAAACTGGAACAGATTACGAGATCGTCAATTTTCAGTCACCGATGCCCTAGAGGATGTAAATTCTTGTCCTCTGTCAACAGAAGAAGTTGTGCAATCATTTCTGATGTCACAGACCACGGAAGGACAAAGCTGTTAATTTCAATCTGAAGAAGAAAAAAAAAAAACTGGTCAGCTTTACCAATTGTTTTCCTCAGCATATTGGGAAAGTTCATACTGTGAAGTTTGTAAAAACATACAGATGCAGCACTGGTTTGGTCCTTCAGAAGATGACCTGGATTGGATCCCTGCACGTGCTGGATGGATAGTCTTTAATGGAATGCTCACTGCTTAATCCACTTTTTTTTTTTTTTTTTTTTTTTTTTTTTTTTTTTTTTTTACATCAGTCAGTGGGACAGAGAACTAGCATTGCCATTATGTTTGCAGCTCCAACAGGAAGATGCAAATAAAACTGTATAAGAGTTTATAAGAGATCTGTTTTCCCTGTTTCTTTTGGTCCAGGTGTTTATATATAATAGATATATATATCTATATACATATTATTATACTAATAGCGCACTCCACCACTTATTTGATGTTCAGTAGGAGCTTTTGTTTCAGAAAATTTATTCAGTACACGCAAGCCTTGTTAATGCATCTTTTGAAGGAAAACTAGCATTCACTGCAGTCTGAGTCAAGTGTTGAACATCACTTTTTATCTTACATTTCAGTATCTTTAATTCTTGCTTCTTAGGTTTTGTAAATCAAAAAATATAAACTGCTTTTATTGGCCCTATTTTCAGTGGCTCCCTTGGTCACTTGGAGGGGTTACAGGTTTTGCTTATCAGCAACTAATACATTGCAGGCTGTTTTGTGTGGAAGCCTGAACAAGGTCAGGGACACCTAATCTTCATCCACCAATAGCTAAGGTCATGTAGATCATATACTTGCTTTCTCTGGGTCCATGGTATGATTGCACTGCACTTTGGACCATCGTGCTCAAAGAGGGCATGTCCAGCTCCTATTTATTGGGCTGCAGTACCATTTTAAACTGAACTTAGCCTTGGTGTTCTAGAGCTTAAAAGGGCTGCTCTTTATTATATATGTAGATGTTTAGTTCAGGTCTATTTTTTAACATCCAAATTTGCAGGTTGAAGTAATCGTATGTACAAAACAAATACCATATGTTGTCATGTTTATAATTTTGTAATATTTTTTTATGGCTTTTTTTTTTTTTTCCTTCTCCCTGTGCAAATTGTGAAAAATGGTTTAACATTTTTTAATAACCATTGCATACAATTTTATAGAAAAACAAATGGGAGAGCATTTGAATGCTCAGTTTTCACCGTAAAGGTTCCCTTTAAAATAAAGCCTAACTCCTACTGGAATTTTTTTTTTTTATGAAAAAAGGTGTTCCTATTCACTAGAATTTGTAATAAAATTGACAGCAAGCTCAAAAGAGTGTTGCTGGCTATAGGTGAGGAGGTGATTTTAATTCCATGGATGAAGAAGATTCAGTACTTTTTTATATGAGATCTATGTGATCTTACAACACAAATGATTACTCACATGTGAAAATTTCCCATGAAATCAGTTGTAGCATCCAGATATATAATCATGCAGATCATATGTACTAGTGATGTAAACAGATGTCTCAGGAACTCCACTCTTAATTAATCTGTGCATTTGTCCACATTGGTGACCTGTCTTGCTAACCATAGGGGTTGATTTACTAAAACTGGAGAGTGCAAAATGTGGTGCAGCTGTGCGTGGTAGCCAGTCAGCTTCTAGCTTGTTCAATTAGGCTTATGCCCAATACCTGGAAGCTGAATTCAGTTTTGATTCAGAGCTGCACCAGATTTTGTGCTCTCCAGTGTTGGTAAAACAACCCCATAGTCTTCTGAGAGTTTTTTTTTTTTTTTTTTTTTTTTTCTTTTTTTTTTTCCATCCTGCTGGAAAATATTTGCCAGCTTGGTGTTCATTTGGTAGTTTTATTTTACTTTTTGTTTTCCTACATGAAACAAAATAACTATGGTGCAAATTGGATGAAAACTAATGTTGGTTAGCGTAGGCCTGTTTTGGTTTCCATTCAGTGTTTACTATGAACTTTTCTGAAATCTCCTGCACTTTTATGTTTGGTAAAAGTGGTAAACACATTGGAAATGCACTGCAGGCACAGAAAGTGTTACAGTGATAGAAATGAAAAATTATATCATTCTTTTATTTCTTGGGGCCTATGCACACTTTTTGTTATCCATTGCCATGTTACATTTACTGTTGCATTTCATGTTAAGAAAGCCTATTCATTATGAATGGGTTGCCAGTGCACCGCAAGGAATCGATAAATGCACATGACCCTGTTTTTAGCAACCCAAGGTACTACAATGTGTGAAATATGCACTGTGGTGTCCTACCCTCTGTTTCAGTGCCCTAGGTGCCATTTACAATGACTAGCACTGATTGACACCTCAGAGTGGTTGCTTCAGTGCACAAATGTGAACAGGGCCCTTCTACTGTTTTGCCATCATGTACTAATCTTTTGAGGATATCTTTTAGACAACATTTCAGTTCATTATGCTATAGATGCCAAGTGATCTATAGAAACTAAGGGCCAGCTAGCACAGTCAATGCAAAAAGCAATATATTTTCTTCTGAAAATGTTTTATTTTAAATAAAACATATTTGCTATATAGTAAGTGAGTTGTACAATGATGAAACAGTGTTTTTGCAGCGAGAATAATTAGCCTTTGTTTTACTTTTCTTTTCAATACACAAACATTTTTTTTTTTCCCCCAATGCATTTTTATATTTTGCCATATTTAATTCCATAAAAATATGACTTTATGTACCATGGGCAGTATTGAGGGGAAGCAGTCATTACAAATAAGATTTCAGGGTTCAGAGTGGAAAAAATTTAAAACCTGAAGTGACAAGCTCACCCATACTTGTCTTTTTCCTGCAGCACAAATTTGGCATGCCTGAATTGGATACTTTGTTTTGTTTATAATACTGAATTTATTAGACTTGAGTTTTTGTTCTTTTCAGAAACCATAGTCTTCAGAAAATGTAGGATCATTTGATTGGTACCAATGTATATATCGTCTTGTGAAGAGAAATGGTTACATATCCACGATCTATTAACTTCAGTTGGGGGTAGATATATTGTGTTCTTTTAAGATTTAATGGGACATCATAATGAAAAGCCCTTAAATAGTTGCCCATTTAAATAATTTTTTCTAATGAGAAAAAAATTAACCAATCTGGCCTTTTAGACCAGCAAAACACTTTCCATCACTGGGCTCAGTATATCTAGTTTGGGCTCCATTTCTTGAGCAAAATTATCAGAAAGTGTGTTGGTATAAAGTAGTGATTGCAAATTTTACAAATTTTACAAAAAACTTTACAAATAGAGGCAAAATTACCTGTACATAAAAGAAATACCAAACCGTCCTGCTGTGCCACCAATTTTATTTAGGCTGCTGAATGATACTCTGGTACTGATCGATTGTTTTATTGCTACTGCTCTAAATTTTGGGACTCTGTATGCTGTATGCCTGCCAGTAAGATCTAATTAAAACAAAACAAAAACTACCAGTCATCATCTAAGTGATCTAGCTTGGTCAGCTTGTACCGATTTTTCTATTTTCAGTATAGTAATATTTACAATTTTATAGCAGGTATACCTTTTTAAAGTTAAGCTGGCCAAACCTGAGCAATTCATATAGATAATTTGGCGACAAAAATGATCTAAGCGATATATAAGACATAAACTTGTGCCACTATAATCCAAAGTTTTCTTATGAAACATGGCCCTGGCTCCACCCTTTCTTCCTCTGTCTTTTGGGCCTTTAATCTGATGGGTAGCCTGTTGAACAATAAGGATGAGAGGGGGGGAGAGGTTGTTCAGGGTCGACTTTAGCTATAATTTTAGCTGCCTTTTTTATTTTTTCACTGAAAATATCCTGTGCTATTGTACTTTGACATTAAATGCTTCATATGATTTGCTCAGGTTTGCAACTGGCTTATTTTTAAGGGCCAGTAGTCCTAAATGTCATACTTTTATATGAAAATATACTAGTTACATTCACAAGTGTGTATGTAAACATCAATTTGTTTTGCATTGAGTTGGACCTTGGAGGGAGTTTATTTTATAGACATTTTGTTAGTATCACAATTGCAGGGCTCTGTAGGCCGCTCCCATTAGACAAAGTGGCTGTACTCTGCTCCACAGAAACTACAAACAAGATGTGCAATATATTTCATTCTATCCTAGAATGGGAATTTTTTTTATGTACATATTTGTGGATGATACTGGTTCCACTTTTTGTGTCTTTACTGACCTTTTAGGTAAAACATTGTTTTTTATGTGCGCTGTGTTGTCGCATAAACATTGTTGTGGCTTTTGATCTGTGTTTTGCTGCTTAAATCAAGTAAGCTTGCTATGTGATGGTATTGTGCCTTCTTCACTTTTTCTTTGGTATAACCAGTAAGTGCCTCTGCTGCCCTCAAAGCTTATGTGATAGTAGCAGACAGAGTACTACAAAACTGGGAAATGCAAATAAGTGCATAGTGTTTTTTGTTGAAAGAATTGACAAAAATGATGGTTGTGATTTGTAAATGACAATGTAAATACATAAATCATTTTATAGAACTACATTTTAATTTCCAAAATGTACCATACACCTGACCTGGTTTAAAATGTTTGTAAATTGCTTTTGTAAGTTGTCACTTCAGTCCATATCAGACTATTCCTTTCACTATTCAGTCAAGAAGGATATGCAAAATAAATACAAATGCCACACCTCTTCAAGAAAACCTATTACTGCTATTCTGATAGACTGATCATATGTGATGTTGCACAGTAACTGTACCAGACTTGGTCCACTAGGACTTATGAGCAAAAACATGTGGGGCTTTCTGCAGCTCAAAGTTTTGGTAATTGATATTTCTGCAAAAAGATGCTGACTACATCACGAATGTACAGCGGCAAAGTGGTCCCTGCGCTGGATCACTTGCCTAGTACATGATCCGCACTTCTGGGTAAGGGGCAAATGCCCCCAGCTGTGCTATGATTCAACACGGCACAATCCAATCAGTGGGTCCTTGCCAATAATTGATGGTTGGAACAGTGCTCAGTGTTAATAGTGTTTAACGACTCAG